ATCTCTTCTAAAAGGTAAATAGGTATCTGTTGACAAAAAGACACTTCGTAAGAAAGAATAAAGGGAAAAATTCATTCAAAAAGTGTTTGAGGATTTAAGCACTAAATGTTCTAATACTATAGATAAGCTGGGCTTGAATTTTTTGTATATTTACCTAGAGCAATTAGTACAAAACTGTGATTCTTCAACAGTAGAAATGGAGACAACCTTTTCTCTTTTATATAAAAAATTTCTTGATGCTGAGGACTTTGCTGATTGTGCGATCTAAGAAGCTATTATATGTTACTGTTAATTTGAAAAAGCTTTTATTCAGAGACTATAAATGAGAGACGAAACCCTTAATAACAGTCAAAACTTAGACAAAACTATATTAAAATCATAATGAGAGATACAACGAAACCCATTCAATATGACGAAAGTCAAAACTGTCGAAACTATATTAAAAATATAGAAAAGAATATGACAAAATTATTTTGAGGAGGTTTCAGCAGACATCTATATCAAAGACGAAGTAAAATAACGTCTGAAAAACAAATTGATCTAGAATTCAATACTATCAATAGAATTTTAAATATGGAAATTAGAGCTTGGCTTCCTACAGATACTTCTGATGCACTTTTATGAAAAAGAATCAAGCAGGTCAAGAAACTCTGAAAGCTTTTTGATGTAATAAGTATAGATAAAATTTATCAGATACATTTATTCTCTGTTAACAGTATTTCAAAAATGACGTATGAAAACATTCAGTATATCATAGATAATATGCTAATTGATTACAGCATTAATATAGAATTACTCACCTGTACTCAGCCGAAAGACACTTTACTAAGTGATAAGAAAAATTTTGAATTGTCACATCCTGATCTTAGTTCAGGAAGTGATAAGAAAAATTCTGAGTTGTTACATACTTCTAACACATCAGAAGAAAAATATTTAATACATCTTTAAAGTCTGGGATAAATATTTCACCTATATCTCATCTACAAATTCCTATGACTAATCTAACTTATGACTGATCCTATTTTTGTAACAAGATATTGGATCAATATTCTAATCTATATAGAGAATATAGTAGTGAAAATTTTAATTATTATAAAATTACTAATGAAAGAACATGCGCAGGGATTCTTCTAGGACCAACCATCTGCTCATTATGTAAATTAGGCCATGATAATGAAGAAATAGAAGGTAGGTATAAAGCTAGATCTTACTTTATTAAATATGAATAATGTGAAATTGAGATAACTGTATAGTCTGGCTACTTTGGCCAGAGGCGCTTCCTATATTTACGTTTCTCTTGAGAAACTATTTTTACAAACTAATTTATGTCAATTATTACCTAATTTGAATTGATTTGTAATCATATAGAAAGGTAACATGACCAAGTTCGATAAAATATTAACCTCTGAATATCTGGATTAGCATGCCAAATTAAGTGGGTTACCAAGCGTTTTGACAAATAAGATTTGTTTCAATTTATACAAAAGATATAAAAAAGAAACTGGAAATGAGCCATGACAATTATCAGAAGATATAATAAGTATATCAGAAAAACCTTAAGCCTCTGATTTCAAGCCTATCACTTTTGAAGCCAAACCTGATTCAGGATTAATTATCAAATCTGTGTTAGAGCATTACATATACTTGAATTTTGAAATAGTTTTAAAGGGATTGATAATTATAATTTTGTATCTGCTCAGCCGTGGAGCTCACCATGCCCTATCTGTGATGGAAAACATGGGAATTATGGATTACATGGCAAATGGTATAAAAATGGAACAGAATATTGTCTTACCTGCAACAGTTTAAACAATAAACTCAAGTTCGCAATCGTAGCATAATTCGGTCATGTGAGAGATGATCATGCACCGCGCAATTGATATCAGGAAAATTATTTTATACGCAATAAGTACGTCATTTCCGCTTCTATTGGTTGGAAGTGTGAATGTAATTTATTTTAGCTCAATGTATTGCTGTGAAATGTAATCTATTATTTTTCTTATGACGATCGGTAATAATTTTTAGACCGTACAGTACATACTAATTTTTTATTACTTGAGCGTTAATACAGGGTAATTTAGGAAATCTGGATCGGCAAATAAGATTGCCAGCAAAGATCCAGGGACTTTATTCTCAAACTTTCTCGCATATTCTCAAAATTATTATGTATATTATTGTAAAAGGACCCCTTGATGATCTTTACATATGGATAGCGTTAAATTCTTTTATTGTTAAATTAAGGAAATTAAGGAGAGACTGTTGATCAGATTTTCGTGATGCAATCATATTAACCTAATTCCCCCCAAAAAACGTATAACAAAATCGATCCTAGGAATTATATAAAAAGGTGATATCCCAGTTAGTGAACCCTTATATCCGCCTTGTGCAAATAAAAACAAAAAGTTAAGCGAAACATTCAAACTTACCAATATTTACATCACCATATTAACAATCAAACAAACGAGTATAATCTGCAAACTGTAATAATAAGGTATATTGGTTTTATAGTTCGGGTTAGCTTCTTGAAACATGTCATCACGATGCTAATCGATTTCCCCGCCTCTATAGATGTTCCAAAATAAAACAGACCATATTGCTCTTCTTGTTATATATCGGCATTTTTGATCTTCGCCGAGAAAATCTTTGACAATCATCACGCGTACAATAGACTATTCACATGAATCTCGTCATTTGCCTTAACAGGACCACATCACACTCCTCATAGCATCATATGTTTCGTTTATTACTCTTATACTCTTATTGTATTTATTATTTGCTTATACCGTGTATTATTTTACGAAATGCATTATATTTTTTTTATTGCAAATTCAAAATAATAAAGTTAGCATCATGCTACATCAAGATATTTTTCTCGCTTTTATATTTACAATTTTACAACCAACCCAAATATTACTAAAACTAATAAGCATTAAAAATTAGATACTTTAATTATAGTGTATAAAATTAATTAAGATTGTAAAGGTATGGCCTCATCTCTAATATATTTAATTGTACCAGAGCTATCTACATATCGGACATTCATTAGTACATTTTCAAATATCTGGTTGTGAAAGCAGTGTATAACATTAATTCTATCATCAGATGGCCAATGAACATCCTCATGAGTTGCATAACGATCTTCACACGTAAAATGTACTATCCAAATATCGTCCGCAGATAATTTTTCAGCATACTCAAGCACCATTTTAAAGTGTTCATTGAGGTCCCTTCTTGTTGCAGTAGCTAAAAGTTCGAGAACAATTCTTTGATATTTCGCTGTAATTACTATATCACTATATGTGTCAATATATTTATCTTTGTTGGCATGATGTTCTACCATATGCCACTGTCCAGTGACCTCCAAGCCATTATTTCTGACGAGCCAGTTAACTAGGACCCTATTTAGCTCTGAGTCGTAAACTCTTTCTTGGGGAACACGTTTCTTTTTTTCACCATCTACACGCAACTCACCTGAACTTTTAAATGACCTAATGAATCCATTAGAAATCATGCCCTTATCAAAAAACTGTATGGCCGTCTGCAAAATCTTGAGAGTATCCGGAAAGTCATTTTTTTTAGGGGAATTGCACATGTCGGGGCGGACTTGTATAAAACAGGAATAACTTGTTGCCGAATCAGATCATCTGTAAAAATAGATGACATTCTAAAATTATTCTTTTTCATTTCATCCCTCATTAGCACCCCCTCAGCTGTCAAGAATTCTGCTAGTCTTTTTTCTTCAGGGTCATTGATTTGCACAAAATCGAAAAATCCTAGGAAAACAGATCGAAGAAGTTCTATAGCAGGCCTGGTTTCTTTCTTTTTAAGTGTAGTAACCATCTTTCTGAAGGTGTTATAATCAAATATCGTATCTTGCATATAACTGATAACAAAGTTTAACCAGGTTGAGAAGCCAAGCCTTCTGTTTTCATCGAGTTTTGGCATTAAATATGAATGGATAGCTTTTCCGCAAAGGCAGACAAGAGAAGCATGCCTGTCAAATAACCGAATCATAAAAATAAGTTTCAGATTTTGATTTCACGCAACTTTCCAATCAGCTTCACATACCCATTTGTCCGATTGTAGATATCCTCAATGATCTCCGGATCAATGGTCAAATTGAAGTCATCCTCAAACTCCTTATATACGGTCTGCACTTGTTCCAGCGTGAAATCTGGGTTTCTAAATGGATCCTTAATGTTGAATGGAGACGTGGTTATTCTGTCTGAACTCAGATGTAAAATACTAAAGGGACCGATGGCTACCGAAGACAAGAGAGCATAATTTTCCTTTGTGTTTTTAATGGCACGAATTACTCCAAGGAATGAGGATTTAATATCATCATGTGCTCCAAGCAATGCATCGATCTCATCAATGAAGAGAACAACATGTTTATCATTCCATTGTGCTTTCTGAAATTTTCGCAAAAAATCATCAGAAGATTTGACATCACCATTTCCGAAGTATTTGGGTGCATTAATGTTAAGTGCGGTACCCATTGACAACCAGAATCTGTCTTTATTTTCCATGTTAAAATGCTCAAAAGTTACACTGTTTCGAAGAAAAAAACAACAGTTATATTGAATGCAACGTGATCAGAAAGTCAGAACTAACTAAATAGAACTTAGAACTTACTAAATGCAAACAATGCCTTGGCTTTTCAACTTTTCCATAGCTTGAAACACCCGTGTAGATTTTCCGGAGGCCCTTGCACCATATAAAGCCACAAATTCTCCACTCAGAATCTTATCAAGAAATGGAACGTTCGTCTCCTCTAGATCAACAAAATATACATCATTACGAAATTTATTCTGAATAGCACTATTAACCGTCCATTTTCTTGGATCTTTAGGCACGTCGTAATTACGATCTTGATGTAATACCAAGTCGTGATACCGATATTTATATAATTCTTCTAATTTGTTTCTCAAAAGTTTATTTTGCTGGTTTATATCGTCATTTTTCTGTCTTAAATCCTTAATTACTTGATTTATTTCCTGGAATAAATCCTGCCAAGACTTTAGAGTTCTTGAAAGTGGCAAATAAGGTCTCGGTGATTGAAGGCATTGAACTCGAGGAGCAACGAAGTGAGTTGGGAAAACGGTCCTACGAAAGACCTGAGTAATTTTTGATGACATTTTTGCACTAAATAAAAGACGAGCATTTTTTTTGTATCGATCTAATCTTGATCGATGATTGATTAGTTTGATCAATTAATCGATCACAATACTTAAATTAAAATTGATCGATCAATAATTTGATCGATCAACTTCATTTTTTAGGTTATCTAGATCTTCATAATATTATCGGCGCAAAAAAATTTCCTTTTTAAATTTATTTTTTCTTTGTTTAAAAAAAATCTTATTCAAAATGGCAAGTACTTCAGGTTCAAATAAGCGTATTAAAGGAAAAGAAACCTCAGATTTATCTAAAAGACAACGCACTACTGGTAACTCAAATGCAATAATTATACAGTGCGAAACCTCTATAATGGAAAATTAAAAATTTTAAATAAAATAGATTCTATGATTGGATTTTGATTTAATAAAAAAAATTGAGATCTACTTGCAAAAAGAAATCGATTCATAAAATAAAATAAAAGTCTCAAATTCATTTGCTTATGTAATTTATCACGTGAAATACCAAAAGCCAATCATAATCTAGAATTCGACAAGTCACATGACTTTATATTTAACGAAAATAACAGATTAATTTTAAAATTTATTTATTAATATTTAAATCAAGCTCATTATAAATGCTATCAGGAACTCTCCTATGCGATTTATATTTTTTACTGCAAATTCTGCCATTTTACCCGTAATTCCCTTTCTATATATATCCATATAATTCCAAGGATTTTGTGCATAACGATGAATTGTAATCAAAGGAACCGAATCTAATGCTTTGGGAACAACTTCTTGTAAACTTGCCCAAGTATATTCACAATGTTCTCTAGTATATCTTTTAGCTGCACCCCAATACATTTCTATATAATTTAACTCACAATGATATTTTGGATAGAAGATACATTTATGCCTTCTTTTTTCTATTTCAATTTGTAATCTAGATTTTTGTGCAATGAAATTAGATTGTAATGATAAAATTTGACGCATACAACAATCTAATCTTTGAGAATCTGTTATTTGTTCCTTTCCTTTACATAATTTACAATCTCCGATCAAACCATCTCTCCATAAACCTCTTTCTATAAAAATTTATTGTATACCTTTAGCTTTATTTAAATATTTTGAATGATCATATAGAAAAACCATTGATTGTGCTGTATTATCTAACCCAAAGTAAGTTGATGCATTAATGGTTGCTTTCCTTCAGGATTAACATTCATTTTAATAGCATTTAAACCATCTTCTGGCATTGCATTATGATTAGTGCTATTATCAAATGCTATTACAGCAATTGCATCCAGATAAATAGTTTCAAAAATAGGAATAGCGTAATTAATAACCTGATTAATTAAATGATCTGCTGTCTACCAACCTTCTTCATTTTTTCTAGGTTTTAAATATTTACGTGCCTCAACAAGAAAATTTAGATTTAATAATGATTGTTCAGAAGTTAATTTTAATTGACCAATAGTTTCAAGCAAAAACTCACTAACCATTATTGTTTTTCCTAAATGGATAATTATCATTTGCATAAAATAAACATTCATCATACGTGATGAATATATGTAATTTTTGATTATCAAAAATTTTCAGATTAATTTGTAATATCTCATCTCCAATAAATGTTGGCATAAATTGTTCAAGTTCTTTCATTTCTTTTAAAAATGTTATATGATATTCTAATACATCTTCTCTTTCATGACCATCAAAATATATTCCTTTTTTCTTAGACTGTAGTACTAAACCAATTTTTTTAAGCTAAATTTAAGATGTTTTTATTATAATTTTCTTATTCATTACAACTTCCATTTGTGAAAAAAGTACTGAATTAATAAAATTTTAATAATCCTTCAAAGTAGTTTTTCTACCATTTTGTTGAATAAAAATAAGACTACTATTAATAACATCTTTATCATCAATAAATGACTTTATTTTTTGATGACAACCTTGTATATTTTTATATAACGTTCCATTTTCAAGTTAAAACTTAGCCCATTTTGAATATTTCTTGCTTAATAAGAACTTTTATTATAAACTTCTTCTGTAGCATATTCACTTGCTTGTATTTTACCTAACTTATGAATATCCAAATAAATAAAATATTTATATATTACCCAATACTGTAAATAATCATAAGTGAACTGTTTTTTTATTACCTAAAATATGTTCAAGCTTTTTGAGCTTTTCAATATTATTTTCAATATCAAGATTGTTATCATTATCTTCATCAGAATTCGAATTAAAATCTATATTCAAATCATTAATATTTGTATTTCTATCTATATCATTAATATTTTCACTAGGATTTGCATTTAAAATAATAGCATTTACATTAGAATCTATATTTGAAGTTTCTGATTTATCTTTATTTTCACTATCTGTACTTTCTTTATTTTCTGTAGTTGAAAAATATTGTGTAATTGATTTAGAACCTTGTGCAACTTTTATATATATACCTGAAGGATCATATTTACGATATTTTGTAGCCTTTAATATTACAAGTTTACCTTCAGATCTTTTTTTTTGTTTTTTTAAACAAACTAACTCAAGTTTTCCAAGATTATTTATTGTTTGTTATAAATTATCTACAAAATTATTATCTGAATCACTTGAAAAAATTTTATTTTCAGAAAAAATAAAATCTGAGTGTTCAGAAGAAATAAGATCTAATTCAAAATCAGAAGCATTTAAAGCCTTTTCAAGTTGCCCAGTTTTAACATTTTAAACATGTTCCTGCAGTCTTTTTTTTGCTATTTTAATTTTTTTTGTTAAAGGTATATATAAGATAAAAATTAAGATAAAAATGTGTGATGCTGACTTAATGAGTTCAAATTATATAATTTTAACGAAAAAAATCTCTCAATTTGCGGTATATTTGAAATAAGTATAATAAAACAAATGATTTGCGATATAAATGAATGATTTGTAATACTATTAAGAAAGAGAGAAAACAATTATAATCATAAGCTCTTTCAGAATTTATTTAAGTTAATTATATTTAGGTTGTCATAAAATTTTTTAAAAATTCATTAAAATAATGAATTTCTTTATTAAAGTTATTATATTCAACTTCGTTAAATAATTACAAAAAAATCCCTTCACTGCTCAAAGAATATCAGGATTCAAGTATTTATAGAAAATATGAAAACCACCTTTTTTTATTTTACTAAAAAAAAACTAACTTAATATGTAAAACAAATGTTAAATATTATATGTTTCTGTGATATGCATCATCAAAAATCATCATCCCTAATACAAATTACTGAAAGCTATTGATTGATATAGAAATTGTATCATCGTACAATTTTTCATAGTTTCAAATTTGTCAATTTCATAGTAAAATCAGTACTACTTTAAATTAATATAACTTTTTAAATATCCAATTATATAAAAAATTAACCAATAATTAGGAAGCTTTAGTATTGTTTATTATTTCTATTGGATAACATTTTGAATTTAATTTTTATTTTTTAAGTTTTACAAATTTTTATCATGCTAATTTGATTGTTGATTATAAAGGTTTCACATTGTACTAGAAGAAGAATCACAATGGATTTCTAATACTAGAAAAATAAGGAATGTGAATACAATTGTGTTTATAAAATCCAAACTAACAGTATATTATATCATATTAATACTATATATAAAGAATATGAAAATAAAAAAATAACGGAGATAAATATCAAAAAAAAATTTTATAATTTTTTTATTAATTATTATACATAATATATTAAATTTACTTTAGTAATTAAAGATTAACGAACAACTTAAAAGTTTACATTATATAAAATGAAAAACAAAAACAATTGTATAAAGTAGTAGCAGATTAGCTTGTAACAGATGGATTACCTTTTAATACAGTAAATAGAGAAGGTTTTAAAAAAATGATGAATAAAGTCAATATAGCATTTAATCTACCATGCTACGTAACTTTAAAATAAGAAATTAGACTTAGATATAAAACAGCAATTAAATTTATAAAAACTTATATTAAGGAGATGTATGATTATGTATCAATTACAACAGATCTTTGGACATTAAGAGCTAAAAATAGATATATTGACATAACATGTCATTGGTTAACTCAAGATATGAAATTATGCAACATATTATGTGTAGAACAAATCTTATATCCACATACTGAAGAACACATTTGTGAAACAATTTAAGATAAATTAAAAAATTGTGATTAGAAAAAAAAGTAATAGTAGCAATTATTGATAATGGAAGTAATATAGTAAAAGCAATTAGAAAATAGAATGGTGTAGAACAGGTATCATGTTCAGCTCATAAACTTCAACTCTATGTACTTAAAGGACTTAAAAAAATTAAGCTATATCTTAGAAGATACGTTAAATTAAATCAATTTTTTGAATCGCTTAAGCAAATAAAAAGATTGGAAAATGCCTAAAAAGAAATAATAATTTAACAAGAAAACAAGAAGTTGCTAGTAATACCACATCTTTTGCTAAAAATAATAATCAAAGTGATAGAAAAAGTCCAAATAAGCCTTTAAAAATTCTTCAAACAATTATAGAAATACTAATACATTTGGAATCAAAATTAGCTTCCTAGAAATGATTAAAAAAATTAAAAGAGCTAATAAAATATGTTTATGCAATACTTGCTCTAGAAACTGATCATGATGCTAAAAAAATTATCAATAATTAACAAATTTAATGCTTAGTAATGATGAATGGAAATTACTTGATGAATTAATTAAAATTTTAATTTCAATTGAAAGTGCAACAGAATTTTTAGGAAGTCAAAAATACAGTACACTTTCTTTAATTTTTCTTACAATTCAAACACTTGAATATGAGTATACTCCAAATTTATATAATGAAACTAATGATAATGATAACAAAAATAATATTAATAAATAATAATAAAATACAATTTGTAATTCTGTATTCAGTTTTTAATTATTTTCTAATAAATTTTAACATTAAATTCTACAAATTTATTTAATTGTTATAAGAGGATTCAAATGAAGAAGATTTGTAAGATGATGACTTTGATAATATTAAAGATCTACTTATATCATTATCACCTAATAATATTGAACCTGTAATTAATCTGGTTAAAAAAGGGTTTTATAATTCTCTTTTTGACTATTAGAATACCCATCAGCTTCTATCTTATTAGCAAATTTATTAGATTCTAGATTTAAAGTAATGTATAAATGAACTTTTGAATTATAAATAATAGCAAAGAATCTATTAAATGAAGAATATAAAGAATTTAAAAATGATGAATTACTTGAACAAATTCTACAAGAAGTTGTTAACCTTCTAATACTTAATCTTTTTTGAGTAAGATTTTTGGTTCTTCTTCTCAAACATCATCATCAATAAATAATGAAATATTCTAATTATTTGGATAATATTTAAATACCTCAAGCTGCTTTTGACATTAATTTATTCTAATGGTGGTTTGATAATAGAAAAATTTTTCCTATATTATTCAAAATTGCTCATAAATATTTAGGAGTTCTGATAACTTCTACACTAAGTGAAAGGTTGTTTAGCGATGCAAATAACTAAATAACTTCTAAAAGAAATAGATTAAAGTCAGAAACAGTTAGTAAATTACTTTTCTTAAAAAGAAATATGGAATATGTCAATCCATTTTAAATAAATAAATTTCAAATTTGATACTAGAATTTTATCAAATAAAAGATTTTAGTGTAATACTTCTATTTATCTTTATCTATATATAGAATTTGTTGTAATTATTCTATTTATGCAGATCTAAAAATTAATTTAACTGATAAGTTTTAAAGAAATGGATCTTTAAAAATATTTGAGTTTATTACTTATAAATATTTACTAAATATTATAACAAAAATATAAATTCTTTATTTTTATCTCTTTAAGTCAATATTTAGATAATTTTATTATATGATTAATTATTAATATTAATAAAATTAATTTTTGATCAACTAATTATTGATTACTATATTGATCGATTAAAAGAGTAATCAAGCATTAATTGATCAAAACTTTCGATTAAATATAATAATCAATCTTTGATTGATCATAACCTACTGAAATTAATCAATCAATTGATCAATGATTTTGAAGCTAATCAAATTCTCTATTTTTATTGTGCAAATCACACGATTCAAAAGATCAGCAAATCATTAGTTACTGCAGTAAATAATTCATGTATTTAACCTGTTCTATATATAGAAGAAATGTTTTAGAAAGGTTATCAGAGATAATAAGTCAGATGAATTTACTAAAAAATCCTTTAGTAAGAAAATGAAAAAAGATAGTGGAAAGAAAGTTTTGAATACGTAGAAAAACTTATTGAAAAGTTGCTTTCTGATGGTGATAGGAGCTTAGTGAAGGAACTACAACTCTTTAAGAAGCTGAATCTAAAAATGAAGATGCATTCAAAGTCTTATTTACAGCTATTTTGATTTTAAGAAGGCTGTATTTAAACAGTACAGGAAATTAAAATTTGATCATAATAAGAATAAATCTCAAGCATTAGTTAAAAGTGAGGTTAAAGAAGTAATTCCTAAAGCAAAATGTTCTGATGAAGTTTTGTGAAAAAAGATGGAAAGATTCAAAAAGGTTTATAAGTTTTTTAATAGTATAGGTAAAGAAAAAATAGCACAAATAAAATCCACTCCTCTAGGTTTCATCTTAAATCTAACTAAGGATAAAAAGGATTATATAATAGCCAAAATCTTAAAATGAAAGGATTATTAATATACTGCATCATTTCTTCTGCGTAATTAAGTTGAGTTTGGATACTGTGTTCAGACTCTACCACTAAAAAAAACAGAATTTTGTTTACATGTATTCTCAAATATATAATAAAGCATTTGCATATCTTGCCTATATCAGGTTTTATTTTTTAAATGTATCAACTGATTGCCAAACATCATAGAAAATAATTTGCCATTCAATGAGTTACAAAGTGCCTTAATGGCTAACTATTTCAGGAGATAAATTTAATTGGATGTTGATCTCGCTTCTGTGCATTTTTAATAAGCTCAGATACTGAAAAACAATACATTTTTGCATATGCATTTTATTTATAATCATTTTTTCAAATTCCCGTTATACTGGCTAAAGAAAAATTTGAAATCTGATTAGTTGATTATCTTGTGATTTATAAAAATTCGCCAGCTTCTAGAACTCTCCTAGAATTATTAAGGATTTAAGGAGATCACATGTAATACAAATTTTATAGTTTAGCTAAAATTAAAAATTATAATATCTGTTTTCTATCCAAACAATCAAATAAAAATAAATTTGGATTTATTGAAGTATAATATTGCTTAAATCAGCTAAAATCACTAAAAATACTATAAAATCAATAAAATTGTTGAATATGTTAAGAAATATTGTGAATAGACCTAGGTATAATAAATTCATTGATATTATTTAGACAAGATTTATAATAAATCTGTATCTAAACCCATCAATCTTCGTCTTAGATATAATATTGAATATATTAGAAACTGTTATAGTTTTCCTTATCCTGATCAATTCGAAAAGATGATTGAGATTGAAAAAAAATATTATAATTTATCTATTATTAGTTCATATGAAATTTCACAGGCAATGGGCTATTCATATAAAAGACACTTTGCATATATTGATTACTAAAGGTCATAAAAGCTATTATCATGTATTCTGTCTTTTTGGATTATTTAGACAAGGAATAACTAAGATATACTATGATAATTATGAAAGGAGAGAAGTTGCCATTAGTTATTACAGACTTAATATTCATAGTTGTAAAATGGCTATTTGTTTTGATTATTGAAAATTAATAGAAATCACTGAAAAAATCAAAAAAGACATATTTCAGTAGATGGCAGAGATATAGGTATGAGATTAAGCCTAAAGACTTGATGAAACATCATTAAGATAATTCATATTTTAAGACTAATAAACATATAAAAACAGTCTTAAAGAGACCAGTCCATCTTCTCGCAAGTTCGAAATCAGAAATATTACATGAAAAATCTTCTAATTAGAGAGGGTATTATATTTTAAAAAAAATACACTTGATTCCCTTTCGCAGTTTGATAGAATAAGTAGGAGTGAAATATTTATTTTATCTATATACGTAAAATAAAAATTTACATAAAGTGTGTATTTATAGAGAATGCACTTATAGAGGTTTCACTGTATATATATTTTTTCATTAAGTTAATATAATCATTCTCAAAAAATACTTTAAATTTAAAATAAAACTTAAATATGAGAATATTATATTTCTGGTATTTTAATAAATTATAGTGATTTAAATGATTATAGTAATTTTAATAAATTATGATAATTCTTTATCAACTTATATTAATAAATATTATAATTTAAATTTATATAGAATTATTAATTTGTTATAATTAGGATTAGAAAATTTATATATACTAGATAAAATTAATATTGTATTTATACTAATTTATATTAATTATTATATTATACTAACTGTATTAATTATACTAATTATATTGATTGTTGTACTAATCCTAACTCTGACTATAATATATATCATATGTATCATAAGAATTAATAAAACTTCTTGATAATTTTATAATATTAGTGAAGTTACCATAAATTATAAAATAAGATTTTGAATTTTTTTTTTAGTCTTTGATTTATAAAATTCAGAAAAATGATTATGAATAAAATGCATATAAAAAAAATATTATTTTTTTTGATAGTAGAGTTTAAATATGCTATCAAAATTATAAATAAGAAATAGCATAATACTTTTAAAATAGTTAAACTATTTTGACAAATTATTTTTATAATATTTAACAAAAATTATTTTATATTATATTATATTTAGCATTAATCATTAATTTATAGAGAATATAAAAATAAAAATAAAACTGATATAAATAAATTATACAAATGCTTTATTAATATAAGTTTAAAAATAAAATTTTATTTTTTTTTAGTAATAGAATTTAAACACATTATCTGAGCTTATTAAAATTATATAAAAGAAATAATATTCATTTATATTAAACCTTTATTTTAAAGTTTAACAATTATATAATTTTTTTTATTTTTAGTTAGATTTAAGATGAATAGATTTAATCTGTATTATTTTTTCTTTATTATATTATTAAAAAGCTTATAAATTTTTTTTGCAAAGTTTCATTAGAATATTTTACTTCAAAAATTAATTTATAATCTTACTTTAACTAATATTAAGATCCTATCTATCATAGTAGATTTTAATTTCTTATATTAATTAAATATAGCTTCTTCAAAAACAAAATAGCTGATAATAAGATTTCAAAATACATCTTCATTTTTAGATTCAGTATTATTAACTTTTATTAAAGAGTTATAAATTTTATTAATTATATATTTACTTGTTTTTTGTTTTTTTCAAGCTTTCTCTAATAGTAAGAATAGGTATCTTTATTATCACATCAGTTAATAATTCTTTAATAAGTTTTTTAGTATATTTAATATTTTTTTTCTATTATTTTTTTCACTTTCTTATTAGAAGACTAATATCTTTACGAGATATTTGTTAGAGATTTATTCAAAAAGCTTTGTATAATTTTCTATATATGCTAATATTTTTTCTTATCTTAAGAGGTTATTTCAACATGTATAGATATTATTTAACTATACAATATATTATGTAGTCTCAAAAAAAAAAAAGTAAATTAGAAAATTTTAAATTAAAATACAAAAAAAATAGCAATAAATATAATATAATATTACACATTAAAATTAAATATTATTTTATGATGTGACTATATTCTTATCTATAAAAATAACTCATTTCTAATCAAAATTCTTATGTTATTTATTTATTACAGCCTTTTTTTAATGGTCTTTTATAAATAAAAATCTAAAATTTTTATTATTAAACTTTTCTTAAGATTTATAAAAATATTACTTTACTATTTCTACACTAAGTTTAACATCTCTTTCTTTTATTTTTTTTATATTTGAATAGCTATTATATTATATTCTTTCTTTATCATCTTTAATTTATCACCTTATTTTATAATTATTATACAAAATTAATCTAATTTTACTATAATACTTGAATCTTGATTTTCATAATACTTTTTAACCTGATAAATAACTGTAAACTTATTATAGCATATCTGTTTAGTAATTAATCTAAAACTAAAATTTAATTCAGCTGAATACTTACATAAAAAGACAATTTTATATTATTTTTTTTTAAAAAAAAACTCTATTTTTTAAGCAAAAGTTTAATGATCATCTAAATTTTTTAAAATATTAATATTTATAAATTTACTGATAATTATATATTGTATTATATTATATTTTTTGAAAAATTTGAGAGGTAGTTATATAATAATTTGAGGTAATCTTAAATGATTAGTTACTTATAATTGCTACTGTATTAGGTTTAAATTTGAGAATTAATCTAATAAATTCAAATTAAATTAGAATTTAGATCTATTAGATTTAGATCTAATTCAAATATACACTACCCTATCAAAAGTATCCAGTCAAGCTCTTTTTGATTATTTCAAGATCAAATATATTAATTAATATAAATTTTTTTTTAAATAAATGCTCCAGTTCTGACAAATAAAATTTATGTATTTGTTTTTTGTTATAATATATATACTAAATTTAACAATAAAAATAAAAATAATGATTAATTTTGCGTAGTGATACTCTTTAACTTTTTTACTACGCCTTTGAAGCATGAGAAAAAATTGCAAATTAAATGAATTTGAGCATGAAAAAGTCATTGGACTTTGAATAGAAGAAAGGACTTATGAAGCCATTAGTCGTGTCTTAAAAATTCCAAAAAATACTATTACAGACACAATTTCCCAATACAAAAATCTTAATAATGGATTAACAGCTAAAAGAACTGAAAGACCATATTCCATATTCTATGAATAATGGTGATTGTTATAACTTTTCAAAAATTGTAAAAAAAAACAATCAACTTTCTCTTGAAGAAATTCAACAAAAATTTAATAGTTTATAAGATAAAAAAATTTCAGCTGTAACTATTCGTAAAAACCTTCATCAAATAGGGATTAATTTATAGGTTTCTGTACTAAAACCACTTCTTACTGAAGTCTAACGTGAAAAATAATTATTTTGGTATATGGAACGACAAGATTGGTTAGTTAGATAGTGAAAAACTATCATCTGGAGTGATGAGTTCAGATTTACCCTTTTTCAAAATAATAGTTCTGTTCGTATTTAGCGAAAAGATGGAATCTGATATAATATTGAGAATTTAACACCAACGGTTAAACATAATGGTGGAGGTGTTATGGTATGAAGATGTTTTTCAGGAAAAGGATTGGGACCATTGGTAAAAATAGATAATAAAATGAATAGATTTGGTTACATTGATATTTTAAAAAAAAATTTATTATCATTCATCCATTCTAAATATCGTAAATAGCCTTATACATTTTAGGATAATAATGCTTCTATTCATACGGCAAGGAATGTCAAAAATTAGATTATAAAGAAAAAGATTAAGATTTTTTCAGATTGGCCTTCTCAATTTCCAGACCTTAATCCTATTGAACATTTGTGGCATGAACTAGAACAAAAACTTCAAAAATGATCAGAATATCCAAAAAATTTATATGAACTCAAAAAAGTATTGTAAGAAGAATGGAAAAAAATTTCATCTGAAACTTATATTAATTTAATTGAAAGTATGCCACGTCAAATAGAAGCATGTATTGAAAGTCAAAAATGGCTAACTAAATATTAAAAATTTATAATATTATAATAAAAATATAATTTTTAAATTGATTGACCAAATACTTTTGATAGAGTAGTGTATATATAAGATAAAAATTAGATCAAATCTGATTTTATCCAAATTTGGTTTAATCTGAATTTGTAGAATACTAATTATGTATAAATAAAAAAGTATAAAAAGCATTTTTAATAAAAATAAAATAATATTATTAAAATTAAAGTTTATTAATTATACTTAAGATTTCTTATCTAAACTTACTTTAGATTTAATTAAATATTTTAACTTTAGTTTTATTAATATTTATTAAGATTTGATATAATTTTATATTTTTATAAGTTTTGATAAAATTTTATCTTTTCTTATATTTCACAAATTTTTTAATATAATTATACTAAATTTTATTTTTTATCATTTAGACAATTTGCAAAATCTTTAAGTTTTATCTGATAATCTTAATTATATAATTAAAAGTTTTTATTAAATTTATTTTAATAAAATAGAAAATTAATATTTATATTTAAATGCAAGTTAATAAATCTATTAATTATTTATTATAAAAAAAAATTATTTAAAATCTAAAATAAAATTTATATATGTAATTTTTTTTATTAATTATTTAATAAAAAAAATTTGATAATAAAATATATATAATTGATTGATATAATAATTATTATATTTAATTTTTCATAAATTATCATTATTACTATCATAATTTATAAGTAAAGATTAATAACTATCTAACTATAATATATTAATATAATCATATAATTTTGAATACTATATTATTAGAATATCACGTGATATTAAATCAACTCACATGATATACACGAAAAATGATAATCCCAAAAAGTTCCTACGCCGTGGTAATTATTTTTATTTTGATAACAAAGCAAGTAAATTTTTTCTTTTTTGTGTGTATTGTTACAGTTTATTTTTATGCTGAAATTTTGAATATTTTTATTTTTTTTATGAACCTTCTTTGTTCCTTTTGCGACTTAGCTTGAAAGATGTATGAAGAACGCGTCATAATGCCATTGTTTTTATCGAATAGTGCAAATTTGAACACTAATGCATTAGCGAATAAATTTCATCATCTTGATCGAATAGAAAAAGAACGATGTCGTCAAGCAACCAAGAATTCCAATGATCCATTCAGTATGTCAATTGCAATCAATAGAGCATCAATTAACTATAATAGGTATAGTGACATTATACCGTTTAATTACAATAGGATAAAGTTATTGCAACAAAGACCAAATAAGACGGACTATATTAACGCAAGTTATATTGAAGCGCCAAATAATGTTAGAAGGTATATCGCAACTCAAGGACCATTGAAAGAGACCATTGAAGATTTTTGGTTAATGATTTGGGAACAGGAAACTCATATAATCGTAATGTTAACAAATCAAATTGAGAGAGGAGAAATTAAATGTGAAACCTATTGGCCTAAAGAAATTGGAAATTATACGATGTTTAAAGACATTGGATTAAAAGTTACATTGAAATCCGAGATATTGGATTCAAAAGCAACTTGTTATGAAAGGACTTTTAAACTTGAAAAATTACGAGGAAGAGACATAATCACAGAATCAAGACAGATCACTCAATTACAAACCATTGCATGGCCGGATCACGGAGTTCCTGATTCACCTGATCCTATTAATAATTTAATTATTAAGATGAACGAGCGTATGCAACATTGTAATCGAAATTCTGGGCCCATCGTGGTACATTGCAGCGCAGGATGTGGTAGAACTGGTACTTTTTGCACGGTAGATTCTACTTTGGCTCTATTGCCTGGTTTACAACAGAATGATTCTACCGATTTGATTTTTAACGTTGTTCAACACTTTAGACAACAACGTATTTCGATGGTACAAAATTTGGCTCAATATCAATTTTGTTATTTGACTGTCCTTAGTAAACTTGTATCGGATTGTGAATATTAAAAAAATAATTGATCCTTGATAACTTGTTAATAAAGGCTGACTTTAAAAATCGTCCCCGATTAATTTTTTTCTTTTTACTCTTTTTCAACGATCATGTGCAAGATTTAATTTATTTTTCGCAACAAAAACTTTATTTTTTCATCATCATGATAAATGGATTTAAATTCGCTTTTTTCTTCTTTCTTATGATTTCTTTACTTTTTTTTTTGGACCCACCTTCTTATTCAGATTCGAAAAAGAAATTGAATTATGTCTAAAAGGAAAAATTCAACGCATAAAAGTTTTAGCGAAGACGAAATTATTGATCTAACCAATGAAATTAAAAAAGAAAAAGAAACAGTAATTGTTATTTCTCAAATAAATTACATAATCAGTGCTTACCTCTCTCAATTTCCTTTTTTTAATTCCTTTTTATTTTTTTTTTTATTTATTTATATTTATTTATTTATGTATGTATGTATTAAAGGAAGACCTATTTTCACCAAAATACATCACTCAACATCCAATTTCATATACAAATCAATATAAAGATGAACGTCCTCAATCATCAGATCCTCTCCAATCTGATCCTCCCTCATCCTTTTCTCCTGTCTACTGTGCACATGATAATCCACCTCCTGTATCACCAAATCAACCTGGCTTGCGTTGTAAAAAACGTGCATGGACCAAAGAGGAAGACCACGCTTTACTTGATTCAATCATTGTTGAATTATCAGGCCGTTGGTCCTCAATTTGTTCTCGAAATGAATTACTGATTCAACGCGGGCCTAGCATGGCGTCACAAAGATTTAAAAGCTCGATTAAACATAAGCTGTTGAGTGGAGAAAATTCCAAAAGGCCACGATTAAAGGATGACGAAGAATAACCTAATTTTAAATTCGATTGTTGTACTAGAATTGCATTCTAGCTTTTTTTATTTTTGGATTAGTAACAACTTTAGCCTTATCTATTACACGTGCCTATCATTAAATCAGAATTACCATGTTTTATTGGCTTATACTTAATTAGTTGGTAAATCTTTTGTAACCCAAAATTATCTTATCAGATTATTGATAAAAAAATTATTCTTTTTTTCGCGCTCGCGACCGATTAAAAAATAAAATTTTTAGTTTCACTTCATGTAAAAAAAATTTTCTTTATTAATATCAGGTTCTGTTGAGAATACTTTTTTTTAATATACTTTTTATATTTTGAATAATAAATAATGGACATTTCAATGGATGCTGTTATAAATATTGAAGGACCGGATCTTAATATACAGCCACACAGTGAAAACGAAAATAATAAATTCGAGTCAAAAACAATTATTAACGTCCCTTTTCAAAGTATACAAAATAATAATATAACAGAGTCTACTTCAAGTATTATTTTATCGCAAACGCATGTTACTCCTTTACAAAAAATATTCGCGGCATGTAATGGAGCTTTATTAACTTCACTATTTAGTAAGTTTTATTGATTCACAACAGATAAATAACTATTTTCTTTACGTGATTTAGCATGTTAATTTAACAATTTCTCTTCTTTTTGATTTAATGTTGAAATTCTTTCTTAGCTACTCCATTTGACGTTGTTAAGACTAGGTTACAGTCTCAAAGTATATTCAACGGATCATCACCTTCATTATATTCTACTTCCACTTCCTTAACAAATTGTTGTCGAAAAGTTTTCTTTTCCTCACAAAATTTAAGACAAGAATTTTTATGTCATTTGGATTCGTCTCATGTTACTTCTAATCAAGCATCGACACTCAGTTGTTCAATAACAGATGCATTAGCACCCAGTCGCCAAATAACCGCAAATCATCATCTCAATGGATCATTGGTAACTTTTTCAAATTCTCTTCAGAAAAACTCGAAACCTTACATAACTAATTTATTTATTTATTTTTTTTTTGTTTCCTTTCAATTAGGACGGGATTGTAAAGATCGTTCGTTATGAAGGAATTACCTCATTATGGCGAGGATTATCACCTGCACTGTTAGTTCTACTTTTGTCAATTGGAAATATTTTCATTTTTAACGAGATATTGATCATACCTACACGTTTTATGTTTATATAGAGTAATGTCTATCCCTGTAACCGTAATATATTTTGTGGGTTATGATTACTTGAGAGATTCATTATGGTCGAATTGGAAAGGAAAATATTCCGAAACTTATTCACCATTGATTGCTGGAGCAACAGCAAGAAGTACGATCTCGCATACATTATATAAAACAATCTAAAATACCTTGTTGCTAAAATAATAATCACTTTTTTTTTTCAATTTCGTTTAGCAATTTCTGCTACAGTGATATCTCCATTAGAGTTGTTTCGAACTAGAATGCAAGGACCTGAAGGTGCAAATGGTTTGAAAGAGGTTATGAAGGGAGTTCAAAAGATGGCAAAGATTAATGGCGTCTCATCATTATGGCGAGGTTTAGAGCCTACTTTATATCGTGATGTACCATTTTCTGGTATGAAATTAAATTGTTTCGCAAAATCTCAATTTTTTTTTCTTGTTTCCCCTCACTTTTTTTGCTATCGTTATTCATTTAAATCTTATATATTTATAAAGCTATTTATTGGGCTGGTTATGAATTGACAAAAAAACATTTAAGTAATTATATGCATGAGAAGAATGTTGATGGCAATATTAATAAGTTTGAAATTGCATTTTTAAGTGGCGCTGCTTCTGGATCGGTACGAGTTTTGAAATTCATTTGTTTTTATGATTCATTTTTATTTTTCAATTATTAATTAAAATTAAATGTTTGTTTTACAAAGGTTGCAGCTACATTAACAACACCCTTTGATGTAGCAAAGACCAGAAGACAAGTAGCTATGAATCAAAGTAAGTGACCTGTATTATTTATGATCTCTCTCTCTCTCTCTCTCTCTCTCTCTAAACGTTCTAAACATTAAAATTTTTTAATTTAATGAAAAGCGAAAAGGCCAACCATGAGCAGAATCTTGAGACAAATTGTTGAAGAAGAAGGGTATAAAGGATTATTCAGAGGTAGATATTTTTAAACTTGAAAATTTTTTTAATTATGTGAATTTATTTAAATACTGATTAAAATAAAAAAAAAACATTTATATACATATAGGAGGAACTCTTAGAATATCTAAAGTAGCTGTTAGTTGTGCACTTATGATTTCAACTTATGAAACACTTCTAAAATGAAAAAAAAATTGTTTCATTTTGCTTTTTGTCTATAAAAAATTTTTGAAACAGTTTTTAATTTTGTACAAAAGATTCTTTTTTTTTAAAAAAAAAAAACTTGAATGATTAAAAAATTGTCTTAAAATTCTATTAACCGGTCCTAACTGGAGGAGAAACCTATAAATTTGGTCAAATTACAATATTTATATGTTTTGCTTTTTTTTTAAAAAAAAAAAAAAAAACAAAGGAATATTAAATTCTAAAAACCAACCAAAATAACACCATCACCACGTACAAATAACATTTCCGAAGTTTTTTTTTGAGTCTAAAAATCCATAATAAAATTAATTTCACTTTTATCTTTTTCGAGTAAATTAAATTGAACTTACACGAATAACTTCTTCATATGTTTCTTCATTAATTTCTACGACTGTAATAGTTTCTTCAACTTCACTCAATACCATATTCAAATGACCATCATAAGCCTATTCAATTATGGCATTAACGCGTTCATTTAACAAATATTTCATAAATAATACGCGTAAATTAATTAAGCTTTGAAAAAATGGCAAGGTTCATTATAGAAACAATGATGCTTACATGAAGTTTACCACGTAGTTCACGATCTCCACGTAACTTGACGTATATTCGTTCATCAAGTGATAAGCGAACTAAATCAAGTGGCTCTTCTACGGCGGCGGGTTCAACTGGAGCGGTATGAGTTTCTTCTGTCATTTTTTTTAAAAAAAAATTGTGAAGAAAATATCTGAACTATAATATAAAAAAATATATATAACGTTAATTTGTAAATTTCAATGACGAATAAAATGTTTAGAAAATATTGAGTTATGGCGCAGTGATCAGGTGTTTTTAAAACATCAAGAATAAATTTTATTTATTGATGATATTACATTATCAGAAATTATTTATAGTGTTTAGAATTCAAAAGCTCTCGAAATAACAAGGGCTTAAGACAAATTCAAACAATTTCATATTACAGGTATAAAAGGTATATACAGTATAAAAGGAGATATTGCATCTTTTGTTTGTTCTTTGCTCAACTAATAACCCATATCACTATTGATTTTAAGATAAAATTGATGTGTAAAATTTGCAAATGGAAAGCTTAAAATATAGTATTTTTTTAAAATAAAAAATAACTAAAAATAACTATCTTGAATCAGTTTGAATATATTTAAAGCTTCGTAAGATAAGAATATAATTGTGATCGAAAAAAAGAGATTGGGATTTTTTTTAAAAATAACAAATGAAAAAATTACAACAAGTAAAACAATTCCAAATATTCTGCCTAGGACGTTAGGTTCTACTTGAGAAATACTTTGTCCTAAACGAGAGGTGATTTCATTTTTATCATTGTCAAAGTATATAGAAACTCTTTCATTTTCGTTAGTGAAATTTATGGTGAGATTTGAACCAGTAGCTTTCAAATATTCCGTTCCAAGAACGTTAATGTCCGTGAAGTTTGAATCGATAGGAGGAAGGTGAACGACAGTACGTTTGTTGTTTAACAATATTTGATAAGTTGATGAGTTGGGTAGAATTACTTTAAAGGATTCGTATACTTCTTCACAAATATACGTTTTCGGGGATCCCGTGTCTATCACAAAGTGAACATTTTTTGTTTTTTGCTTTATTCTAACTGGTAAAGAAACAATGATTCTTAGATTAGGACCGAAGATAATGCCGTTAACTTCTTTTAATTCTGTGTGGAGGGACTCTGATAAATATTCAACTTGAAGTTTTTTAGAAATTTTTTCATGAAGATCTTTAGAACGAAGATCAACTAAGAGCAGGTCAAACATTTTTACCGGATATGAATTGTCTCGAGCATCTTGTAGTGAAAAAATAAAAAAAAAAAAAAGTTTAACGGAAAGTGGTCACGAAAATCATTACGTAATAAATAGTATATTTTTTTTTTTTACTTTACGATTGATACATTTATATAATTTTATTTATTTATTTTTTTCATAAGAACAAATTTGTCAGAATTTTGTAAAAGAAATGTCGGTAACAAAATTTACCTCTTGTGGATTTTATGGGCAAGATCTGTTTCATTACCATGTGATTTTGGCCGGCATTACTGAACTTGTCGAAATTATCCGTATGAACAAATAAGGTGACAAATAGGGTTTTCAAAGAAAAAAAATCGTAAAGTGTGGTAATGTTTAATTATTCATATCATAATATTTATAAAAATTTTAAACTTTATCTATCCTATTCTTTATTTAACAGATATTAATAAGTAGATTTGTTCTTGTAAGCATTTAATACATTTTAAGGGATCAGTTTTTACAAATTATTTTAAAAGATATTTAATATATTTTAATTTAATAAAAGATTTCAAAATGATTAGAATATAATCATTTCAGAATTAATAAAACATATTAAATTGCTATAATAAAACATTAGTATAAAACGTAAGTTATTCATTTATCTATAATAATAATATTAATCTATTTAATTTAACCATTATAATTTTTTTTCAAGAAATCTTTTCTTTCCTAATTTAATCAATATAGAGGATAGGCAATAATAGGCTAATGTTTAATTTTAGAGAAATTTGATAGTTGACAAAAACGGTTTATCTAATGTCAATTTCTTCAGTTGAAATAATTTCCTTTAGTATAAATGCTTTAATTATTTCTTATTCTTTCTTTCTTCTTTAATGTTCATATTATAAAGAGCAATAATTTCATTTTCTTGATAAAGCTATTTAATGCATTTAAATTTATTATTTTTTTATTTAGATTGTAAGAAAGATCATCAATTTTTTGATTTTAAAAAATCTATTTCATATAAAGTTTTATTTATATAATCTTTTTTGCTCTCTGTAATATTTGCCAGAATTCTAAAGAACAGTTGACTTTTTCAATGCATTTTATGAGAATTTAACTAATTGACCATCAATTTTAACTCTTAGTTTATTTTAATCAAAATATATTCTAATGTTAATTGTTTTAAATTAATTTATTCTAGTAATAAAGTATTTTAGATTGATTCGATTATTGTAAATTAACTAAAAATTTTGTTTCTTGCAAAATGAAAGAGATAAAAATTATAATATTTAACGATATTTTACATTTCTGTTCACAGTTATAACTAGAATATCAAAAGACTTATCAGATTTAAGATTGAGTTTAGAGATCAAAGTAGTCAAAATTATATATACAGCTGCATTTGAATTCAGAAATTTTCAATCAGATTCTTATAATACATCTAGCAATAGTAGATTTATTATTATCAGTTATATAAGTTTATATAATATTTATTTTAACTTCCATTTTTTTTCAATCTTTTATTCTTTTAATTTTTGAAAATAGAAGGATTTCTTAATAGTTATCTGAAAGTAATATTAAAGTTAGAACTTTCAAGAATTTTGATTATTCTATAATAAGGTATTATAGGTATAAATTAGACATTTGGTATCAATTTAAAAGATTGAGATAGAATTTTATTTTATTATTTCTGATTAGATTCTAATTAAGATAATAAAATCTGAGTAATCTATAGTAAAATAGATTGAATAGTTATATAAGTTTTTGCTCAACTTCAGCTTCTTTAATTTCTACTAAATTAACATTTTTTTGTTACATACTATTATTATTTTAATTGCTATTATTAGGCTGAAAATTAAATAAAGACTATATTAATATATATATTTAAGTTTTAATCTTCATTTCTGATTGATAATTACTAATTATATGTCTTTCTTTATCACAATTCTAATATTCAAATCTTTTTTGATTATTGTTATGATAACCTTTTTAATTTTAGTTTTGATTATTCTAATTATTAAAGTGGTTTAATTAGTGAATCTAGTTTTAGCTAAAGTTGCAATTAACTGAAAAACTTATTATTACAGTAATTTCATTTGAATTGCTATAATTTGCTATTATTGAACAGATTAAGTAATAATAATATTTGCTTTAATTTCTTTTACTTAGTAATAGTTATATTTAAATTATTTAGATTATATTCTATTATTATTATCATAATATAAGAATTAATTTTTTGATAAATTGCTAATAATATATTATTATTTAAATCTTTCTATAGAGTTAACTTATTGAACTAATATCTTATATTTTTGGATATAGAAGCTACACTTTATTCTGATTGTTAATGAATTAGTTCTAAATCAGTCATTAATTTATTTTTCATAGTAGCATTGGTAAAATAATTTAAGAAATAATCAGTGAAATTATATTGACTTCCTTGTAGATTTCAGTTTTGAAAATCGTTTTAATTTTCATTATATCATTTAATAGCAATATTTCCTAAGTATTTCTTAGCAATAGCTATTTTTCTATTATTATTCTATTGATTAGCTGTGATTGTTTATTCAAAAGAATAAGCCATTCATAAAAATCTTTATTATTAGTTTTATAAAAATAGTTAGATTTACAAGATTTAGTTTACTCTATTTGCTTAGACTATATTTCTTTACTAGATTAATATTTATAGTCTATAACATTATTGAAGTATTTATATTATCTAAAAGTTACTATAATTATTATTAATATTAAATATGTTTGTGTTGAATGCAGGTTGGATAGTAACAAGTTGAGCTAAAGTAATTTCAAATTCTATATTCCTTGTATTAGATCTCTATTGATATGACTATTATTATTTAGTTAAGTAGTATTCTTTCTTATTATATATCTAGAAGAAAAATTAGAATTATCAGTAATGAAGAATTTATACTTAAAAAATTATATAATTGATAAGATTTAAAAATGTTTTCAATTAGTTTAAAAGTAACTTTTTTTGGTTAATTTGCTTTGAACTATTAATAAAAAATCATAGACAATATCTTAGATATTATTAATATGTAATCTTTTTAGATTGTAATAGTTAAATATGATATTTAAAGGTTATAGTTTATATAGTAAATCAATAGTTAATGAATAAGAATAGTTCTACTATATATTATAAGATATATTTAAATCTTAGTAAATTAGATTAATAGTTTTATTATATACTATAAAGTATATTAATATCTCAGAAAGTTAATAATTCTATTATATATTATAAAGTATATTTTATATATTTATACTTTAATAAATTAATTTAAATATTAATCATATTACTTAAAAGAATTATATAAAAATTATGAATTAAATCAAACATTTTATTAATAAAATTAAAGAAATAAAACATAAATAAGAAAATAAGAAAAAGAAAGGAAAATAACTAAAGTAATATATAAAATTAGAAATTGCATATAGACTTTAAGGTAAACTGATCAAATTACATCTAATATTAATAATTACCCTTTTCTATGATGAATTTAATCCTTTATATATACTTTTAATATTACATTTTCAATTCTATATAATGAATAATATTTTAAATATAATAATTATATTAATAACATTAAATATATTTATTATATCTAATATATAATTATATTTAATATATTTAACATATTAATATGTTTAACATTTTTAATATTTAATACTATGTCATATTGTAGATCTCATAATTATTACTTTGTAATAATACATAAAAGATTTATCACTAAAATAAAAAGTACATAAAATTTAAGTTAATTAACAAAAAATAAATAATAAAGTTGATTAAATTACTTTATTATATAACCTATTATTTAATATTAAAGATTATATTAGAAATAAAAAATATTTTAAAATTTTTGAATTTAAATAATCTGTTTTACTTTCAATTGGTATATTAATATTAAACATAAAATTTAAGCTTATAAATAATATTATAAAAATCTTTAATACTTATAATGCTTATAAAATAAAGATTACAGATAATTAAATTTATATATTATGATATTAATTGATTATATAATAGTAAAACATAAGTTAAATATCTAAATTTTATTAGAATTGAATAGGATATTTAGCAAAATTTTTCAATTATTAATTAGAATTATACTATTAAAAAAATATCATATAAGTATAACATAGAGTAACTAGGACTAAAAGAATAAAACTTTATATAATTTTTCTTAATAAAGCATATATTTATGTAAATATTTCTTTTTTATTAATAAAAGATTAATATATTAACATTTTTTTGTATCAGTACTTATCTTAATATATTAAATTTATATAAGTATAATCCTAAATCAATAGTATTTATATGTTATGATTATAAATATATAGCAATATTCTTATATTTCAGTCTTTGATATATCAGATAATAGTATAAAATTTAAAAAAACATTACTTTTATTATTTTTTTTTGATTCATATTCTATTTATACCTTAACAAAATTTAATTAAAACTAAATGTAAAGTTATTTGGATTATTAAAGAAGACAGTTAATTGTACTTTTAAGGTTAATATGCAATACAAACTGTTTAAGAGTTTTATTTATAATATTTAAACAATATGAAAATAGAATAATCTACTACTATTAATAATCTAATAGTTATAAAACACAAAGAATGCCCTCTGAAAAGGTTTAAATCAAATGTTAAAGTTATTTACCTAAGAGATCAAAACAAGTATTGAAAGATAGTATACAAGTTAATATATAAATAATAATATTATAGATAAGGCAAAAGGTAAAGATAAAGAATTGTAAGCAATATAGATATTATTCAAAGACATGTCAAAGTAAAAGTATTAACGAAGATTAATGTGCTAATAGCAATTTATAGCATTTATATGTATGCTGCTTTTGAATGTGTTTTATGTTACAATAAAAATTATCAAAGTTTAAAGTCACATGATATTTATTAAATATAATGTCACGTGATACTGGTTCAAACACCCGTGTATGCGTGTATGAATAGAAATCGGTAAATACTATTTGCTATTGAAATATTATTTATCAAAATAATAAATACCAATGAATTTGTATAAATGTAGATTATTATTATATTGGTAAAAGAAAAAGAAAATATATAATTGATAAATCCTCCTGATCTTTTTTTTATACATATTCTCGAATCAATCTCTTTGCATCCTCTTCTACCTTTACCAATTGATTAATTTTTATGCCGAAATATTGCCAACACAGACGTTGCATTTATTAACCGGCTTAAAAGCTTCAACTATTTTATAGTATATTGGTCCTCATTGGGGCTTCTTTCTCTTTCACAAATTATGACAATTTTTTGAAGGAAAAAAGACGAACGTTTCGGGGCATCCATGACTCATAAAATAATGTTCCTTTATTAATTTTTGGGGGGAATTTCTTTTATGTATTACAAATAAAAAAAAAACATAACCTGATCCAATATTATCCAATCATCTCTAAATACTTGAAAGATCTTCTCACACCACTTTTTTATATCCAATACTTTCCATACTTTTTTTTCAAATCTTTTGCTATTAAATAAATTGATTGTCTTAATAGAAAAAACTTGTTGAGTATTTAAAGCCATTAATATTCTTTTGACGTAAATTTACAACAAATTACTGCCAACCCTCTTTAATTTTTTTTTTTTTTGCGAATATAATAAAATGTTCGAAACCAATCCTTATGCGAGTGGACTACCGCAATCAACAGAGCTTCAAGATTTACTTATGTGTGAATCACTATTTGATGAATTCACCACGACAAATAATTTGAATAATAATCCAAATACAACGCAACCACCTTCGACTACAATGTCGGAGTTTGAAGCTCAAATACAAGCAATGTTAGCTGCAAATAGTAATAATATCGAAAGTTCTAACGATGGTCATAATCAAATTTTTAATAATTATCAATATCCTGTATCAACTTTGCCTACCGATACTCTATTTAATTCATCGGACATATTAGCTTCTCTAAATTCTCATGATTCATTCTTAAATTCACCCAGTTCTTATACTACGATTGACGACAATTGTTCCTTAGACACTCTTTCTCCACCACAATTTAATTCCTTACAAGATTTTACTATTTCACCGATCGATGCTAATGTTCAAGAATTTTGTCAAGACTCTTCTATGGAAGGATCTCCTTTTGAACAATTATTAACTTCAAAAAACGATCTTGACACACTTAACTTAATCGCTTCTCAGCAGTTTGATAATGCTAAAAAGCGCGCTAATTTAACATTTGATCGTGATAGTATTTCACCTGATAAATCATCAAAAAAGAAGCGTAAAAGTCTAAATAGTGTGATTGGTAAATCTATTAAAAAATCTTCAACTGGATTGAAATCTTCGGGACATCCAACTTCTACTTCAGGAACTGAGTTTGTTAAAAGTGAATTAAATTCTTCAGATGGTACTCAAAGTATTGTAGTTCCTAGTTCTCCCGTTATTTCTTCAGATACTTCAAATTATGCTACAAACTCGATGTTGGCATTTAATCAAGGTGCTTGGAATCAATCAGCTCAAACCGTTAATCCTTCCGCAACGAGTTTCGTTCCCGATGGGATGATCGAGTTTACGAATATACCTTTACTTGTCGCGCGTGATAGTTCTCCTGCTGCCAAGTTGCCAATAAATCGTCTTAAATCTACAATCTCTAATGCACAACCAC